CCCCAAAACCCCAAAACCCCAAAACCCCTTTTGGAGATACTTTTATTGAATTTACTTTTTCTCATATCGGCTCTTAATCTCAATTTTAGGTTCAACATCGCTATCGATGGAGAAATCTTCACTTATTAATGTAGAGTTTTTATTTTTATGAATCTGTTGACTTTGATCCCGTTGCTTCATTGCTTTAATAGCTTCTACTAAAAGATCACTAAGAAGATACTATTTAGCTTGAAGTCGATCTTGAAATCTTCTAAATAAACGCTTATAACTAGTAAATTTGATAAAATTCGATAGAATAGTAACCCACCTCGATAACATTTCATAGGGCCTTTTCCGCAATAATTCTGTAAGGTCAGGACAATCCTCTGTGGCTTTTGAGGAATGGTAGATATAGAGTCTTCCTGACCCCTATGGAACATCTTATTCTTGGTCCCTCTCAGACTTCTCTGCATTATCTTTTTGCCTAAAATCTTAAATTTGAACCTTACTGATCTTTTGTTGGCAATCTATGCTTTTCCCTGCTTTAATTTTATTGGCTTTGAAGTCCTGATATGCTGTCCTGTTCAATTTATTCCGACTCAGAGCTCTTCGTGTAACAGAGAATTTAGTTTGAGATCTCTGGAACTTCCTAGTGCAAGATTTTGGTCTCTAAACAAAATTCTTTAGATCGTTCAGAGTCTTTTAAAACTTACATTCCTGGTAGAATAAGTAGATTTAGGTCTAATTCTGCTCACGTCAGAGCTTAAAGGAACCAGATTATTTTTGCTAAAATTCTTCCTAGACTATAGAAAAATGCATTCATACTTTCTTATCGCAGAGGTATTTCTGAAGCTACACTTCTTATTACAGTTTTTAAGAATCAGGTTCGTCAAGGGAACTGCAGAAGGGAAGGAGGATTGGTGGTTTGACAACTTCTTTATCCTATTCTTGACATCTAAAGCTCTATCATTCATAGCTTACAATTTTCCATGTGGTGAGCTTTCTTAAACAAAACACCTTCTCTGATGATGTCTTCAACTTTGATCTTATTCTCCCTACTGGTGTTCTTAGAGAGTTTCTGAGTCTGAGAAAGCATTAAAAGAGCAAATTCAAAATTTGATGAATTCTACAGCAAATATTTGCAGGATGAAACCTTACTAGATGAACTCCGAGTGAGGTAGGACTGTTCCCATAAGTATTCAGATGAGGATACTTTATCCTCCTGATCTTCTCTAGAAGGGTATAAAAGAACATACCTATTTTGGTATAGTACTTTTCTGACATTTTCTATAAATTTTAAAATAACTGGGGTTTTGGGGTTTTGGGGTTTTGGGGTTTTGGGG